GTTTTGGGGAACACTATGCAAGCTATTACGGTAGAGCATCAATTTATGGTCCAACCCCAGTTTTAGGGCCTAATAATTACAATGACTGGCACAGAAAACTATATTGGGGTAGTAGTGGCACTTTTATCTTGGGGGTAATCAACAGCTACCTAATTGGAACTCAAAGCCCACTCAGTGAGAGGGAACTCATTTGTAGTACTGTAAAAACAGTTAAATACACATGGCTGGAGAAGTCATCAATCTTAGAGAAAACCCTAAGGCTGTCAAATCCCTAGACAAATGTAATTTCCTAGTATATGCTAAATATGGATCCTTATATTTACAGACAAGTATGCCAATCACCATTCATCAAAGAAGCTTGTTTTGCAACAGGAGACTGTTACAGAGTTGCACAACTGGCTGCACCTAGAGATTAAGTGTCTGTGAAATGCCCAACGCTAAGTGACACCTCTACACCTAAGGCTCATGGAGTACAGTGGAACAAGAGGTAGAGAGCATACTAATGCATCTCTCAACTCTCACCCATGAAGCCCCCTCATGCAACAGAAGGCAATGAACACAAAAGGCAACACGTGGCCAAAGTAGAAAGAATAAGAGTTAGCAGAGTGTGGGTCCTTGGACAGGCCTCCTGTTTTAAACTTCACCTACCCAGGACTCAGGGAACATTGAGGAAGAGGGAGTAGAAAGATTGCAAGAACCAGTGGAGAAGGTGCATTATCATATGAAAACAGAATCATACAGGCTCCTGGGACCTTGCTCATATGAACATACAGCAATGCTGATAGCATGCACAAAATCCATGTAAACTCAAGCAGATAAAACCCAGCATAGAACTGGTGAAATGGGCCACAGTTCCCAATCTTAGCCAAAGAACTATTGGGCATCTGATTACTGCTGGGTGAGTAAGAGATGATCTTCTTTAAGGGAGTGACTATAGATAGGCTGAGTAGACCCCAGTGGATGAACTTACACTAAGGGACATCTTGCACACTAACTTGGCTTGATAGTCCTTAACATAAACGATGATATGCATAAAATCCAGTGGGGGTTTACTATGAGAGGGAGCCAATAGGAGAGGGGGTATAAAGATGATTAAGATGTTGTGTATGAAACACACAAAAATTCAAAAGAATATATAAAAAATTAATCAGATTAAAATGATGACACACAGAATCTAGATTAACCTGTGATCCTCTAACCTAGATTAGTACTTTGAGTCTTATTTTGTAATGTGTATATGTATTTGTCATTGTTGTAAAGCATAGTAAGTCTTGTACTGATTGTACTGATCTTGGTAAGCTGTGGATTACCTAGATCTTCTCTGGTCCATCTCCAAGTCCCTATTAAGTTGGCAATCTGACCAAAAAAATAAAATTAAAAATTAAAAATTAATCTCATGAAATAACTACCTTATCTTGAATGGGGACTTTTTGCTAAATTTAGAGACAATATACCAGGTCATTCTACGTATGGTTGTGCAAAAATCTCCCAGAGCAATAGGAAGTGGTCTTTGATTACAACCCATGAAGGAATTCTCTGAAAGATACTAGTGAAAGAATAATTTCCTCAGTGGGACAAATGAAGCCCTACAACTTCATAAGTATGGAGGAAGGGAATATCTCTTATTACGTATTTACATAGTGATAGACAATGATTAATTAGGTCACTAGTTAGCAAAAGATTTGGGAAGATTTAGAGAGGAAGATTAATGGTAATAATCTATAAGGTAATTACATTTTGGATGATGACATTTTGGGGAATTCCCACCAAAAGTCTTGCATTTCAGAGAACTATCACAATAGTGACATTAATTAGATCAGGGATCTGTCTAATGGGGCTAGAAAGGAGATAATGCATGCCTCAACAGCATGAACTAACCTCACCAAGGCTAGTCTAGCTACTGAACTGATACACACTTAGTTTGTTAATATGTTACCTCCCTGACCACTCCCTAACATGCACTACTTCCTGGGACTCCATCTACCCAAATATTTGTAGATAAGTTTGTTTGTCTTCACAGAAGTAGTTATAATAGTCAAGAAACGGAATTTCCCTCAGGCTCTCTGAGTGTTTCGGTCATCTTCATAGTCTAAGGATATAATCATCAAAATCACAGAATTGATCACAAAATTAAAAATTCCCAGGTGATATATTTATAGCAAAGTTATTGTAACATGTCTAGTGTTGCATTATTAAAATCATATTATTTAATGATGATTGCTAAAGTTTGGGGATAAAATACTGTACCTTAGGTAAAGGGTGGTATCTTATAAAAATTTAGCATATGTTTTAGTTAAAGCCAATATGTGATCCTTTTTTATTTTATATTGTATACACAGGTCTAGAACAGGGCTTAAAGTGAAAATGGCGCCTCTGATAAGTATGTTTTACTTTTTCCTTTAGAAAATTTGTTTTTCATTATTAGTCTGGAATAAGGTAGTTTGGAGGCAATACTTCTAGAGGCAGAATTGATTCCACCAAAAGATATGACCATGTTTTTCTTAGATTGAAAGCAGTAATATTCTGTCATTATTTTGAGTTTATTGTTTTTAAATTAAATTAGGAAAGGCATGCTGTCCTTTAGTAATGCAAACATCTAAGTCACTAAAGCATGTTAAGATCAGGCACAACTATATCTAGCATCTAAGTGACTGAGTATATATCCTGATGTTCCACAGCAAGTTCAGGGGAAGGTTATGAGAAGTCATGAAGACAAGACATATTATCATGTTGATTTGGAATTGATACACTTTAAATTCTTAATCAAGTCATGAACCCTGAGAACTGAAGAAGTCATAAGAGGATGAGGGCATATGAAATGCTTATGAATAATTTAAGTTGTATCAGCTTCAGACTCTTGTGCATCTCTAAATGCTGTGTATGAGACAATAGGAGCGATGCAGTAACAGTTCTACTGGTGTGGCCTGGCCTTTGTTTCATCAGGACTGAGTTTCTTCACGAGAATAGTTTTATGAATGTTAGATAAATCTCTTCTCAGCAGTTTTTTTCTACAGGCAAAGTTGTGCTGGTGAATGCAATTTATATCACCCAGGAATTTCTGCATCTTCACTTGCCTCATGATGATATTCAGGAAAAGAAAAGCCTTTATATCAAAAAACAGAAGAAAAAGGCAGTGAGCAGGACACTTGGTGGTTCAAGACTTGTATACCGTGGACAGCCAGTCTCAGACGACAAAAGGAGTCTTAAACCTGAGTAATGATTAATCCCAAGGATGGCCAGTTCACTGCCTTTCCCTATGTCTTAGACATTGTACAATCTTAGCTACTATTTTTTAAATGGAAGCAAAGCAATAAAAGAAAGAGAAAGAAAGAGAAAGAAAGAAAGAAAGAAAGAAAGAAAGAAAGAAAGAAAGAAAGAAAGAAAGAAAGAAAGAAAGAAAACTCATGATGAATCACTGTCTTAAAAAAGTTAACATTGCCAAAAATATTTTCAGTGTTCCAAAATTATAGTAACCTATTTCATTTTCAGTTATGTCATATATAATAATAAATGCATGTCCCTTTTACATAGTTGCTTTATAAGTAAAATCATTTTCAAAATATCATATCAAAAGAGGTAAGATTTTAAAAACATGTTGCCTGTCTTGGTGATATATACCCAAAATATAAGCACATGAGCTGAGCAGGAAACTTGTATCTGAAGCCAGGCTGTCTACATAGCAAGTTCCAGACCAGTCTAGATTGCATAGACAGATACTTTATGAAAAACAAAAATAAAGCCAGACATGCATTTATTATTATATATG